TGATAATGCTACTACTGGCTCTTTTATTAAACTCCAAACAACTGGTGCACCACCTATCATAAACACATAGTCAACTGTGGATTTTCGATCCTCGTCATCATGACACCGACTTGAATCAGTGTAGCCCACTAACTTACATTATTTTCCTTCATCAACTGCGGAAATAGTATGCCATAATCGATAGTTTCTTTAGATACCCCAGTATCCTCTTCGCCGCTGCTAGATGTGATACCTTTAGCTTATGCATGAATATACTCACCATACCTATACAATATGCCTAGATCAAGCCTTTTGTGACAAAGGTATCTTAATGACCCAATAAGTCTTATATTGGGTTGGTTCGACATCATCTTCATCTGAGTCTTTTGGCAGTTGCAGTCTTGGTTTAGTAGGTGTCAAAGTCGACTTGCATTCTTCATCTTAAATCTCTTGAGTATTTCACTTGCATATCTTCTTTGATGCATCATCAATCCTCTACCACTCCCGTAGAATTAGATTTCAAGGAAGTATGAAATGTCGTCCAAATCAGACATTTTGAAGTACTTGCTAAGATTACCTTTGAAATATTCAATTTCTTTCTTGAAGCTAGCTACCTATTATTAACAAGTCATCAACATAGAGACATAGTATAAAAAATTCACTATTGTTTCTTCTTACATATACTCCATGCTCAATTATGCACTTCACAAATTTCTTCTCCCTTAGAAAACTGTCAATCTTCTTCTTCCAAGCTCTTGGAGCTTGTTTAAGTCCATAGGGCTGTATGCATCGTGTATACCTTTCTTTCTTCACTTTGTTTCATAAACCCAACTGTTTGTGTAACATAAACTTCTTTGTCTAAGGTGCCATTCAGGAATGCACATTTGACATCCATATTTGACACATGTGACAATTGTTCATTTCTTTTAGACCAATAACCTACCTGATTGTTTCGATCCTAGCAGAGGTAGATGAAGCTACAACAATTTAACTGATAGAGAAAACCAACAAAACAAAAATCGTATCAAATCAGAGAAGACCATCATACCAAAGTAACTAAATATATAAAAACCAACAAAATTATGCGATAATGCTACTTGTTAAAATAATATATGTATACTACTTAAAAAACCATCACTGTAAAATTAATTATTTTTTAAAAAATAAAAAATAAAAAATAAAAGAATAAATACAAATAAGTAATTTAATTATATTCAAAGTATTATATTTTTTGAATATTTTAAATGTAAATATTTAATGAATGTTAATTTATAAATAATATATTAATATTATTTTGTTGAAAAATGAAATTGTAAAATAAAATTTACAATATTTAAAATATAAACATTACACTAATATTTTAAAATATATTTTTGAAAGGAATTGAGGGAGTTGTGTAATAGATTAAGAGATATTATAAATTGAATTTTTTTACCATTATATGTATATAATTATATGAAATATATATAATCTATCTAATAATTTTCACTCATGAATTAATAAGATGTCACAGAGTTAAACATGCAATCAAATATTTATACATAATTATCTATTAAACTGAATTATCACAACCATGTGAAATTTTAAATAAATTTTTATATCACAACTATCTACTAAATTATACCACAACTATCTATTAAGTTCAACATGTAATCAAATATTTATCAGAACTAACCATGTGAAATTTTAAATAAATATTTTGATATATCTCGTTAATCAAATCTAATAGTTATTAATAATATATTTATTTAATATAATTTTTATTTACATTTAAAATGTTTATTTTCTTGTGAATCCACATTAAATCAAATTTTAATTTCATTTAAATGTAATTTATCATAGATTTTATTAAAAATTTATTTGACTTTTTAATAAATTATTTATTTTATTCAAAATCCTATATTTATTAGGATTTTTTTTTGTCTATTCTATTCATATGCTTTTAATTTCTAAGCTTAATTATATTTTTAGTCTCTATGTTTGACCTAATTTATGAATTAATATATTTATTTAAAATTTAAATATTTTTTATCCCTCTTCACTTTTAAATATTGAAAAATGAAGTGTTCATTTATTTAACTTATATATTTTATTTATAAATTTTAAAATTTTTTTATAATATAATTTTTAACATTTTACAAGTAACACATTGTTTAAAGATAAATATAACATTAATTTTAAATGTAAAATATGAGAGATGATAAAAAATTTTGAATTAAAAATAAATGATTATTTTTATAAAAAATTTAAAATAAAGGCAACAAAAGTATAATTAAATTTAAAATAAATAATTATTTTTTATAAATAAATTAAAGAGTTTAATTGTTATGTACTGTTATTATAAATATTTTTACACTGTCAATATATTATGATCACTCAAATTTATTATTTAAAAAGAAATTAAAATTAAAATTAAATATTTTAAATAATTTAACAGTTATGATTACGATGTGAAACTGTTTTTTACATCAGTTTGAAGTATATTTTAATTAAATTCTAAGTTAAAATAGAAGAAGCAAAAATATAACCAGTATAATCTATAATTAAATCAAATTTTTTTTTGAAAAAAATTAATATAGAAAACTTTGAAAAAATACACGAGTATTTAAATTTAAATAAATAAATATCTCATAATGGATCATCAATATTATTCCACGTATCAAAATTTCGAGATTCATTCAACTTATGCCGCTGTTTTGTTTTTTTTTCTTCTTTTTACAAAATCCACCCTCAACATCACGTGCCAGTAGTTGACGAATCACGAGATCCCAAATCTTAAATTACCCAAATTACCCCTAACAAAATCAGATAATTTCTTCACACGTAATCTTCTATTTTAACTCCAAAACTTTTCTCCCTTTCTCAATTGGTGATTTTCACTCCAAAATCTAGGGTTTCAGATCCCAAATTTCCTTCAATTTCGTTCTTCAATTAGGGTTCTGATTGGGTATTTTTGGGTTTTATTCGTTTGATTTGAATCGATTGAAGAAATTTTCGTTATCGAGTTTCGATTTTCAGGGTTTTGGAATTCGTGGATTAGGTTTTTTGTGGGGTTTTGTGGGGTTTTTTTTGTTTTTGTTTTTTGATATGGCGGATTCTGTTGAAGATGATGTTGATTACGAGAGTGATCCTGAAGAGGCGAAGAGATCGCTTCTTACAATGCGGAGGCGTGAGGCGAGTGATGATGATGAAGAGGAAGATGTAGAAGGGGAAGGGGAAAGAGAGGATTCAGTTAAGAGTGAGGATCTTCGCGGTAGGGTTCGTTCGGATGATTCGGATGGGGAGGGTGGTGTGGCTGATTATGATGACGAGGAAGGCGAAGATGAGGAGGAAGAGTATGATGAGGTTGAAGAAGAAGAGTATGGTGAAGTTGAGGAAGTTTATGAGGAGAAGGGTGAGAGTAGGGTTGGGGGTTCTGTGATTGGGGTTACGGAATCTGATGGGGAGGTTGTACCTTCTTTGGAAGAGGATTCTGCTGAGGCTAATTTGGAGAAAAAGGAGAATGAACCATTTGCTGTGCCTACAGCTGGTGCTTTTTACATGCATGATGACCGTTTCAGGGACAATTCTGGAGCTCGCCCAAGGTATCTTTTTTATCATATTACTTTTTGTCAAATGTAGCTTAGTGAATCTGTTTAGATTTAGTGTTACCTTGACTTGGAATATTGTAGCTTAGTTTTAGACTTGGTTATAGCTGATATTTTATATGTCGCACAAACACTATAGATCAAAGGTGTGCCCAACATGATCTGGTTACTTACCTTCAATTGTCTTAATTTTCTCAAATTATTGAGTGTTATCAAATAGCAGTTCCATGGCCATTATGGCGGATATACTTGGTGGTTTTTGGGCTTGCCGCAATGGTAAGTATCAGTCGATATTGCGAGTTTTTCTGCCCTAATCCACTATAACATCACTGCAAAGTCTGCAAAGTGGCTGGTATGGCGAGATTTTGGCTTCCCGCCATGGACAGCCATCTGCCATCAATAACATTGACTATTAAGAATGTCAAGTGTCAGTCAGGATCATGTTTGAGTCTGTGCTTCATATTTTTTTTTTCTTATCTGATTAACTCTCCGACCTTTGATAGGCGGATGCGTGGTGGAAGGAGATTGTGGGAGTCCAAAGATGACAAGAAATGGGGGCATGATAAATTTGAGGAAATTTCAGTGCAGGATAGGGGCTTCAACGAGGTAAGGATCTATAAAGTGCTTCACTGTCACACATTCCTATTAGTTAAAATGGTATTTTTCTAAGACTCTTTTCTAATGCTGTTGTGTGTATGAAATTTAGAGGAGGAGACCTTCTAGGGGTAATTATCGAGGGCGTGGTAGAATTCGCGGCACTGATCGCGGAGGACATGGTCGTGGAAACAGGAGAGAATTTAATGACAGAAATGACAGAGAATATAATGACAGAGAATATAATGACAGAGAATATAACGGCCGCAGTCAAAGTCAGGCGCCTAAAGTTGTTGTGAAAGGGAGAGGGCCAAGAAGGTATGAACCGACTAACAGAAGGAATGGTCCAGCTCCCCAGGTTCATAATAAACAGTAAGTACCACATGCATTTTACATAATTTTATGGTAACATGAAGCTCATAATGTTGAGGATTTCTTATAAGTTTTGTTTTATTTTGTTTTCAAAGATCTGGGAAATCTCAGGAGAAAACTTCACTTGTTAGTTCAGAGAGATTTTCTGTACCAGCATCCAATGCAGAATCTGACCCCATGCCCACTAAGAAAATTTCACATGTTTCTTCAAATTTGAACTATGCATCCCCACCATTTTATCCGTCTGGCTCTTCCAACAAAGAAGTTAATCTGGCACCAAAACGGGATGTACAAGTTGGCAACACCAGCAGGAACATTCACCCTGTTATGGATGGGGGTTTTCAAGTTCAACAAAACAGTGTAGGTCATCGGGGAAAGAATGTTGCTGATTCCATCAGCATGGACAAGCTATATATTGACCAATCCGTCGGCCCATCTGTTGGAAAGCCTTTGAACAATGTTCATTTGGCACCACCTGGATCTTCTGGTGTCCATGCTTCTCAATCTCATTTTCCCAGGCCTGCTGGTCCTGTAAGAGGTGCACCAATCCCATTACAGATGAATTACCCACCTGCTCTGTCACATACTCAAGCAAATAAAGTTTCTCAAACTCAACTGCACGACATTCAGAGAAGTTCTGCATCAGGGAGGACTTCAACGTCTATGCAAGCTACTGCTACACAGACTAGCAATCGACCTGGCAGTGGATCTCAGTCTTCATCTCCTCCAAAAAGAGCTGCATCAATTAATTCACTTGATTCTGGGGAAACAGATGTGGCCTCAGAATCAGGTAATGCCAAAGGAGCATTGGTTGGGAAGGGAAGGGGAGCTTCCCAAGGTGCTGGAAGGGGACCTTTTGTTTATGGCGGGGCACAGGTAATGGGGGCTGCTGGAAATTTGGGCATCAGTCAAGGAGATCCGAACTTCCCCACTTTCTTGCCAGGTTTATATCTTTATTCTATATGTAAGGCCATATGTACATTGAAGTTCTAATATTCTTGGGTTTAGGTCTGGGACCTTGATTTTTTTTCTTTTCAAATACGGGTATGCAGATAGGGTGCTGCAGTACTCAACTCAAATCCTACCTGTTGTCATCTTTAGCTCTAAGGCTCTGATTTATATTAACGTCCCCCTGTGTTCTGTGTGTTTATAGTTCTTGGTGAACAAGACTAATTTTTCTATTTTTAATTTGGTTTTGTTTGGATTCAGTAATGCAATTTGGAGGGCAGCATCCTGGTGGTATGGGAGTTCCCGCTGTTGGCATGGCATTCCCTGGATATGTTGCTAATCCTCAACTTGGTTTAGGAAAATCAGAAATGACATGGTACATATTTATCTATGAGTTATTCTTTAATTTAAAATAGAAAAATATTAAACTCCTTAGTTTCATTTGTCCACACTTAGTAATTTTCCCGTCTGTGTTTAGGCTACCAGTCTTGGCTGGTGCTGCAGGAGCTTTAGGGGCTCAATACTGTTCACCATACCTTGCTGTTGACGGTGCTTACGGTCGACAACCAGGACAAACCTCTGCAATGGATACTTCAAGGTTGGTTCAGTTTTATAGCATAAATATATCATTTGTCTCCATTTCATTTTCATTGTTGCAATATCTTACTACTAGGTTCTTGATATCATTCTTTGTTTTCTTTTTGTTGATGAATCTTTGCAGCAAGGAAAATGTGAATAAAGCTAATAATGAATTGAAGCCACCACAAAAATCTGGTAAAATACATGATCATTCCCTTTGATAGTTTCACCTTTTGCCCGTGGTTACATTACTGTGATTTGTGATTTATTTTTCTGTAGATCTGGTAAATGATGAGTATGGACAACGACAGAATAAACCTCGCAGGCAAGTTGTCTTGCTAAACCTTCATTTAATAGTTTAGTTTCTATTTTGTTTGCATACTTATTGCTATTTTGAACAAATCACTTTGCGATACACTATTTATTACAAATATTGCGACATATTAGCAGCTCTTTAGCATTGTTGCTTAGCGGAATTTTAACAGATCACTATTTTCCGCACATCTTGGTTGCTATTGTATATTTGTTGAATCATTTCAATGAATGTTGTTTATGCTCTCTATGCAGATATTCAGAGATGAATTTTGGTCAGTGAAGTTTTATATAGGATACAACTTGTTTGAAATAAGCAGTTAAAGGTTTGTCATCTCCAATCTAATAACTGATGGTTTTTAGTTTTTGTATTGTTGCATTTTTCTGAGTTTTTTGTAATTTTGTTATGCAGGCCTTACTCTAGGCCCCTAGTTCTTCAGCTTTTCATCTGGAGTACTTTGGGCTGCAATAAATTTCAAGATAATTTAGGTAACCACTGCACAACTTACATGATAAAGTTTTTAGTCATTGTCTAATTGACATGATGCTCACCTGTCGATAAAATTATTATTAAGATTTTTCTTAGATTTACATATCTGTTTCTTTTTCCTTCTTTCACTTCTCTCTTATTTCACCCCTGTTGCAGTTATACAACACCTGCTCACGCTGTACTGCATTCTTGACGTTATTGCAGTTTGACGGGTGGTAGTTGCTTGTTTAATTGTGCGGTAAGAATGATTTTGAGCATACTCTTTAACTCTAGCAACAAAACTTTTAGATTAAATGCTTCCATTGCATGAATTTTGAAAATTACTACCCTTGTCCATGGGTCAGTCTCGTTGGTCTGTCATGTGCCTCTGTTTGATGCTTCATAGAACACATTTTTCCAACACACTCCTATTGGTTGAACTTCAGCCAAGTATCAATTTTGTCGGGTTTAATTTCGATGTTATCTATATGCATTTCAACCAATAGTCATAAAAAGTGTTACATGATGTGTTTGTAGTAGTCTTTCTCGAATATATCAATTTTGGTGCCCATATGGTTTTATCTTTAGAAAACAACATATAATTTCTTGCTTTTTTTCCAGGTTTTTCTTGCTTGTTTGATTTTCTAATGAAGCTTGTGAGAAACTAGTCTGGCTTCACGTGATGAACTACGAATATAGAAACAAAATTATAATGATTGTGAAGCAGCTGATTACATTATGGAGACAACATTCTCTCATGTAAATGGTTACCTTGTTCCATTTGGTTTTGACGTTGTGCTTTGATTACAAGACTTTATAAGCTGATGACTATATAAGCTTTGGTGACATTTTTAATCAATGCATCGTTTTCCTTTTCAACTTCAGTTGTTGTTTTGTTAAAAAATTCACCTATTCAATAAATTTTAGTTTGATTTTGTGTTATATACTATATGATTGAATTATATTCTTATTAATAGTAGTTGGTTTATGTGAGTTTACTATTACACTTGACTATAAGCTTAAGTGTGAGAAGTTTAGTAGGGTTTTCTTTCTTTTTGAATTCAGTTGGTTTTAATTGAGTTCCAAATGATTTCATCTGTTTTGTCTTCAAAGACTTTTGAGGTGGAGCATCAAATATCATTGATATTAAGAGTTACATGATTATGGCTTGATATATAATGTAAAACAGAATTTAGTTATATATATTGTTGTAGTGTCTTTTCTCTGCTTAATTGTCTCTAAATCATGATTGAAAAAAGCTCATTCAAAGACTTTTGAGGTGGAGCATCAAATATTATTGATATTTAGAGTTACATGGATTATGGTTTTTCAGCAAAAGTTTCTAACAAGAAGGTAAAAGTTTCTAATTAAAGATCATATACCTCTGCTATCCATGAATATCCTTTTAGTTCTTTTGGGATCTATCTTCATTTGTTTGAGTGCATTTGCAAAGGTCTTTAAGGATTTCAAGGAAATCTGATCTTTCTTTGGAATAGTTCACCCAAGTCCATCTTGAAGAATCATCAACAACTTATCTCGTTCCACCAGAATTGTAAATTTGCATAAGTCTCGTTAAATCTATATGAAGAATTTCTACCCCCTTTGAAGTAGGATCATGTTACAATTTTGAATGTGACATCTTGATTTGCTATCCAATTTGACACTTATTATAGTTTTTACTTCAACCTTGAATTTTTGCAGACTTGTGCCATGACTTCACCTTATCCTTCTTGGTTATTAAGTATGTGGAAGAATAGGTAGTTTCTTAGGTATCCACAAATAAAAATCATCTTTGGATCTGATTCCCTTCATTAGAACGTCATCTTCTTCTTTTGTAACCGAACATTCTGATTATGAGAATATGACTATTAAACCTTGATTATACAACTGATTATTGCTGATTAGATTAGTAGTTAGACCTTTCACAAGAAGAATATTTTCTTGGCTAGGAGACAGTACATGCTAGTTTTTCAACTCTTTAAATTTCTCCTTTGGATCCATCATCAAATGTGATAAAACCTTTAGATTGAGATATGAAATTCATCACAAACTCTTGAACTCCTGTCATATTTTTAGAACAATCACTATCAAAGTATCAATCTTCTCTAGATGAAATTATGAAAGAAGTATGAGCTATAAGATTAATATCCATATCTTTAGATATTCTCTTTTTATTTAAAAGATTAGTCTTAGAATGAACCGTAGGTTTTTGAACTCTATAAAGTCTGTGACAAAAAGACTTTATGTGACCATATTCACCACAATAATGACATTTTCAAGGTAAGGGCTTGACTTTAGATAGAGTTGTAAGTCTCAGAGTGCCTAAGAGGAGGGGGGGGGGGGGGTGAATTAGGTCTTATAAAATTTATTCGGTTTAATGAGAATACTTGAAGTACTTTTTGGTTAAGTATTTGAAAGTTTTGATTATATCTTATCTTTTCCTTGATTATGGTGATGAAAACGATAAAAGCGGAAAGGTAAAGAACACGGTGATATATCCTGGTTCCCCTCACAATCCGAGAGTACTCCAGTCTCCAATCAGAGTGCCTAAGAGGAGGGGGGGGGGGGGGGGGGTGAATTAGGTCTTATAAAATTTATTCGGTTTAATGAGAATACTTGAAGTACTTTTTGGTTAAGTGTTTGAAGGTTTTGATTATATCTTATCTTTTCCTTGATTATGGTGATGAAAGCGATAAAAGCGGAAAGGTAAAGAACACGGTGATATATCCTGGTTCCCCTCACAATCCGAGAGTACTCCAGTCCCCAATCAGAGTGCCTAAGAGGAGGGGGGGGGGTGAATTAGGTCTTATAAAATTTATTCGGTTTAATGAGAATACTTGAAGTACTTTTTGGTTAAGTGTTTGAAGGTTTTGATTATATCTTATCTTTTCCTTGATTATGGCGATGAAAGCGATAAAAGCGGAAAGGTAAAGAACACGGTGATATATCCTGGTTCCCCTCACAATCCGAGAGTACTCCAGTCCCCTTTCCAACACGAAAGAGATTTCACTATAGTTAGAATGATTGTACAGCCTATGCTTACTATCTAACCTATAGGGTGATCAAAGGTTCTTAACACCTTTAAGACCAAACAAACACTAATGTGAATGAAGAACAATCCTCTTCAAATCACAACACTTACTTCCAACAATCTTGGATAGTAAGGGAATAATTTCTTTAAGTAATACAATGATTGATTTGAAATATATGGAGAGCTTTATCAATCTTCAATTGATCTTCTTCTTTAAGATATAAACAATTTTCAAACAATGTATATAAATGTTCACAATGTATGTATGAAACTTGTAATGATAATGAAAGTGTATATGGCAAGTTTCACAAAATTATGAACACATGAAAATATGAATTCAAATGTGAATGATGAAAAATTGTTTATTGAAGAAGTATAATTGTTAATTTGAAAATTGAAGCATTGTTTTTGAAATAAGAAAATCTGCAGCATTTTATAAAGTCACAAGAACCTCTTCATTCATGCCAATTCATATGAAAAGTTGTAATGCATTCATGAAAGGGTACCAATTGAAATATGTTAAAAAACCAAAAGAAAAGCTGCACTGGTTCGCTAGGAATCGATTTCGACACAGGGAGAACCCGATTCTTAGTGAACGTTATAAGTCAGATTTTAAAAATATCACGCAGGAACCGGTTCCCCTATTGGTACAACCCGGTTCCTGGTATAAAAACCAGGGACATGTTTTTTGAATAAGTCTGGAACCCGGTTCCCTGTTAGGGAGGAACCGGTTCCAAAAAGGTTATTTTCAAAAATTCTTTTTTGAAAGATATTTCAAACAAAGTTTTTCTTGATGTTAAAATTATGGGATATGTATATGTTGATGAATGCATATTTTTGTGAACATGTATATTCAAGACTAAGAATTATTTATACCATTTTGGCATTTGATGATTCTTCAATAATTCTTCTATAATCTTCAAGACTTTTATATGATGTTGATAAGCTTTTTGCACATCCTTTGAACGTTGATATCCATGTTGTCTTCATCAAAACAAAAGCTTTAAATATGACTTGAGAAGCTTGCAATTACATTCTCCCCCTTTTTGATGATGACAACCAAGTCTTGAAAACGATTCTTGAATTGTTTATGTTGTTTTGAGTAGCAAATATGTTGAGCAAATGCAAGGCTCCCCCTAAAATGTATGCTCCCCCTAAGTCCATGATTCCTTGAATTTTGGAGTGAGTATAAGATGTTTGGGCCTGCAATTTCTTTGAAAACAAAACAACACATGCATATTCTTCTCCCCCTTTGTTAACATCAAAAAGGATTGGGAAAAGAGTGAAACAAATACATATTTAAAAATTTAAGACGATAAAAACATATAAAAGAAGGAGTAGAAGCAGAGTGTACTAAAAACATAAAAAAAAAATTCTTGTTGAAGAAAAATTGATATGTGCACTTTATGAGAAACATTTAGATATCACCTTCATCCAAAATACCAAGTTCTCTTCGGATTTTGAAGAAGGGTTCTCGAGCAAGCGGTTTTGTGAAGATATCTTCGAGTTGGTTATGAGTATCCACAAAAGTGACTTCGACATCTCCTTTAAGTACATGATCACGAAGAAAATGATGTCGAATATCTATATGTTTGGTTCTTGAATGCATGACCGGATTCTTTGTAATATTGATAGCACTTGTATTGTCGCATCGAAGAGGAATGCATCCGAGATCAAGTCCGTAATCACGGAGTTGTTGCTTGAGCCAAATAATTTGTGCACAACAACTACCCGCTGCTATGTATTCTGCTTCGGCCGTGCTAAGAGCAACACATGCTTGCTT